TCTAAAATGACTGTGTACATAGCCATATCAGTTCAGTATATTGTTCGTCCTCTAGCTCCTCATAAATTGAAATGTGAAGTGGTCCCATCCTAGATCCTGGGTTGAGCACAGTTGTTCCATGTCCTCCCCCATAATTCCAGGGTCAAGTGTAATGCTCCTTGCCCACTCGGTTGAGGAGTGAGGATGAATGTTGATAATTCCAAACCAGATGAGTTCTGTTCCTTTGGTTGAATAAAACATGCACATTCTTGTCATCCTGTTCCTGGGGTGTTGCCTTTCAGGCTTCTTCAGGTGAAGGAGAAGATTTGTCTGCTTGGGTGTTGCTTAGTATCCCATCATGATTCCAGTGGTTCAGAATGCATCACTCTTTGACTACAGGTTGGAATCCAGTCAAAAGTATATCCATATATAACATTGTGGTTCAATTGCTCTAGCCATGAACATGGGATATAGGAACCAAGACCTCTTAATTCCAACTCTGAGTAGTGGAACCTTGGCTATCTGGTTGGGGCTGGCCTATAGTAATGATTACTCATGTAGAATTCCACCCTTGATACAGGAACTAAGTTCAGGATGAAGATCATACCTGTTCTGGATGTAGTGTGGTTCTCCCACTCGGGTACCACTCTTATCTTGGTACACCCATGATCTCTGCAGATGCTTTCTGTATGGATAATGGCCTCACTGACCCCTCCACCTTTTCAGTGTTGAATTTTAGCTATAAGTAAGAGTGGTGGTATGTATGTTTTGGAAGTTAACATTTTCCTAAATTGAAAATGTATTTCCAATAATACTTACCTCCCCTAACACTCACCCAGCCTTACTCCTTACTAAAAGTAGATGTTAGAGACTGGGATAGTATCAGTCTTGAAGAAGTGATGAAATTATCTGAATAACATGCTTATATACAGTACTGGGATGATGGGCCCATTGACGTATGTGGAGAGTATCACAAGACATATATTGCCAGGGGCAATTGAATGGGGTATAAAAGACTGAAGCAAGCAAGAAAAAATCAGACCAATGCTTAGATGGGCGAAGATGAAAACCTGGTGGTAAAGTAATAGCTATAAGTGTGAGCGGTGGTAACTCTGATTGGAAATACATCTTCAGTTTAGGAAAATGTTAACTCTCACACCGTATGTATATTTTTGTGTCTAGGTAAGCTACTTGTAACTGATGATTACAAAATGTTCTCCTAACATTGTACATTTGTTAGTTTTAAACTTGTAATAAAGTTTTCTTTGTTACATAAATAGTAAACTTTCTCTTCCTGTTTGTATGTTAGCTGAATCTGTGTCTCACCTTCTCATCCCAGTTTCTCAACCTTCTTCTACTTCTCATCCTCTCACTGACCATTGTTAAGGTCATCAATCTTTTTATTGATGACCTTATCTTATCACATTTAATTCTTTGAGGTCCCTTCTGACTATCTTCACTTGCATTTGATTTCTAATTTTGTCTGACAGATGGGTTATTCAGGTTCTCACCTGCAGCCTAATTCTCATCTTCTCTCTCTCCTCCCCTTTACCCTTTTAGTTTCCTTTCCTCCTCTATCTGATTTCTTTTATGTTCAGTGTCTCATAGATGTGGTCTCAGATCTTTTGCCCTAGAATACCATTGTGAGGGTATTTACCTCTACACCTGGTTAATGCTCTCGTTTTCCAGTTCTGTGATCTTTCTTTTAGCTTTGCATTTGCTCCTTCTGTCTTTACTTGAGTCATGGGGGCATTTGTTCACCTTGTTCTTGGATTGGGGCTGAGGTTCCCTTTTATTTGGAACATTGGCTTCTTCTCTCACCTTCTCAGGAGGACTCCTTTAATATCTGCATTCTTCTACAGGTGGCTCCTCTACTGGGTTTGTTTGTCAATCTTTCCAAGTCTTTTCTGATGCCCATCTTACATTTGGTACTTCTCATCTTGATTGTGCTCAGCCTTCACTACTTTTCTTATGAGAGATGAGATATATTGTCCCTAAAGTTTATGCTTCCTCTTTTTAATCTAAACATGAAGTTCTTTTGGTTTCGGGAACTCTGTCTTCCCTTGTACCACTCATTCATTTCAATTTTACATACTGTTGTCTCTACCAGTGGATGTTGCAGAACCAGTGGGACCTTTCTCAGGATCCTTCATACTAAATTTTGAACCTCTCCTTTTCTTGAGGTTTTGTCTTGTCGGCTCAACCATGCCAATTCCAAGTTGTAGACTTCCCCTTGATGTTGCTAACTGGATCTCTCTCTCTTCACCAATGCATCTCTGTTGGGCTAGGTGCTGTGTGTGTCTCTGAATGACTACACGTTTTTAATCGTGTAGACTTCATTGACTTCACTTCTTTGTTGTTACCATTCTCTTCATCCATTGGGCATTTTCCCATTTCCTCCCTCTTCTCGTGGTTAAGTTGGTTATGATCCATTCTGACAATTCTATGATCATTTGTTTTATAAATCATCAGGGGGGTACTTATTCCAGGACTATTTGCTTCCATGTCTTGGACCTGCTTTGTGGGCTTATTCTCATTGAGTTCATCTCATGTCTAGTCATGTGCCTGGGGTTCAGAAATGGGTAGATGTTTGCCTATCTCAGCCAAATAGGGTTCTAACCATGTAATGACCACTCCACCCCCTTGTTTTCTTTTGTTGGATTGTGCTCTCTGTTGGACATGCCTCTCATTGATGCCTTCACCACTCTCAACACCATACTTTCCCTTTTCTGGTATCCAGGTCCTCATCCTTTGGCCCTGTTGGCTAATGCTTTCAGTCAGGACTAGTCTCACCTTTTTCTGCATGCCTATCTTCTTTGTCTCCTCCATTGTGTCATTGCTTTGATACTCAAAACCCCTTGTTGGATTCTTTTGGTGACCCCCCTCTTCCTCTGCTCTATTCCTACTTTCTTGCTCCTACCACATCTATCTTTTCCATGGGTGTTGTCCCTTTCTATTCACGTGTATGATTTGTCCAGTACATTAACCACCAGGCTGGACTTTCTGATCATCTAATCTTTTTCTTGTGCAATTCATGTTGTTCTTCAACTTTGCCCATCTATTAACTGAAGTGTTAGGTGTTTTGATATTGGTCCATCTGCCTCTCTCTTAATCTAGGCCATCCTACTGTGGCCAACCTTTTAACTATGGATTGCCTGTATCCTCTGTTGCTGGTATTTTGATAGCTTTATCTCATACATCTTACCTTACTCATTGCTGCCTGGTTTTTCATCTCCTGTCCTCTCCACTTTTTAAAATCCTTCCTTCTTTACTGACTTTCTCGTTCTACTGTGTGAATAAAGTTTTACATACTTTTCCTTAGGTTCCATTTGAGCCATTGACTTCATGTTCCTTATTCGATTGTTCTCTGAAACATATTTTCTATTTCTTCTCATCTTTTGTTGCCATTGTTTGATGTGTATGCCATCCATGTTCTCTGCACTTTCTTCTTTATCTAAAACAGTCCTTTCTTCCTCATTTTTCAGCTGCTCGTGAAGGTGATTATTCTTCACACTTTGCCATATCAGTTTTTTCAACTGTCTCACTCTCTTGCATCTCATTTTCACCAATCCTTCGATGAGGTCCTTCAGTCTGGCATGTGGATGAACCCACACTGTCTTCCTTTATCTTTATCATCTGGCTGTTTCATCTCTTGCATGATTTCAGCTCCTTCTAGTTGAGGTTTTTCCATATAACTACATACTGATTTTGAGAAGGGGAAGTAAATATTTCTTTTTCAAAGCCCTTTTTTCCCTTTTCCAAGTGGTTGGTGTTGCCCCTTAGTATATGCCTATGTCCTAAATTTTGCATTGGACTAGGACTAATGAGAAAGTGTTCAACCCATCTACCCTGGCTCTACCAGTGCCCACTATTGAGATGAGGTGTTTTGCAAGACCAATAGAGATAACTTTGTGGTATGCACAAGACTCAGTTGCCCTATCCAGACTATGTCATTCCATGGACTGTCATGCCTACTTACTTGGCCTATGCTTGCCAGCTTTTAAAAATAGGGTTATGTGGTCATCCATTGCACTATCTCCAGTAAAAGACCTTTCTGGCAGGTATTCAGTGGGTATCCATGCACTACTCCAGGTCTCCCCAGTGAAAATTCCCCCACCCCCTTATTCGAATGGAGCATGGAAAACCCTTGCCAATTACAGTTCCTAACCATTGGAGTGATGGACCTTGGAGAATTCCTCACCATTTTACACAGCACTGGTGGGAAGTAGAGCAGTGGTGATACTGTTTGTTTAGTGCAGCTCACCCCTCAAATAGCTAGTGTGCCCAGTTGAGTTGAGGTGAGCATACACCATACAGTCTGTTTGTATCATTATCACAGTACATTTCTTTGCTTGCTGACTGGTTGTATGCAGGTGTTCGGTTCGTCATGATCTAATCCCACCAATTCTTGTGGTGTTTTTTGCCTTTCCCTCTGTTTCCTTCTGGGTGAAGAGTATACCAAGATTATAACAAGATGTTGTCTTCCACAAGTGTTTTCCTATGGAGCCCTTGTCATTGGGTGTCACACTCCATGGGCTTTCTGAAGGGAACTCACCTAGGTTTGATTTTTTGCACCAACCCCTCCACCATTTCAATGTGATAACATGGCTATTCTGTATGCAGAAGTGATTTATCTTCTCAGAAGCTAATCTTTTCTTTATCTGAAAGTGTATTTCTGATAGATACTCACCTTTTTATGGTTAATTATTGATTATCAAAAGTACAAGCTCTAGCAACAATAAGGTAAAACTTGAAACTATTTAAAGTAATACAATTTGTACAGAATGTTTTGGTCTGAAATACTGAATATAATATATATAGATGTATGGTATCACTTGAGATATCCTCATTATACATACATGTAACTTTAAATTCTGTGTTTATAAAGCTACATTAACACATGAAATAACACCTGCAGTATATTATATATAGAAACTCGAAACTATTTTTCTGTTGTTACATGTAATAGGCTTGTGATATTTTTCAAACAATGCCAGTTACAGATATTTTTCTTTTTTTAGATTAATACAAGATTTGCTATTGATCTAATCCAAGAAATTCCTCCTAAACCTGCGGACGCTCGAGTTACTTGGTGTGACGGTGGAGGAGGTCCTCTAGGCCATCCAAAAGTCTACATTAACCTGGTTAGTCTTTAGCAAACCATATAATGCAAGTGAATTGTCATATTCTTTGTTCATGTATTTGAAAAACTTAGAGATCAACTACATAACTGAAGTACCATATTAAGTAGGATAACTGAAGCCAGACTGAATGTTTATACTAAGATGGCTTTACAAGAAATGGTAAAACATGGATATTTAAGTGATAACTGGTAGTTTTGTTATTAATATTACATAATCTTACAGAAGTCAAAATTTGCTCTATAATTTTAATGAAATTGAAATTTTTCTGCTAACTATATTAGTTCAGGGTGATCTAACTTTTTACGTATCAGGAGCTTGACTTATTTAGAAAGGAAACATGGAGGTCTCTAATTTATCTCTTTTGTGATTTACTGAAATGGGACTTTCCAGTTAAAATCTATGTGTGACTATAAGGTTTTTCATGCATAAACTTGAACTTAACATGCAATTAATTGTTCATAATAAGTACACAGGATGATAATTTACACCATTTGGTCAGATGTGATCAGTTAGAACACATTGTAATAGCTAAAAGATTGATGTTTTAAACCATAATGCTAAGTTGCTACGATTAATTTTTTTATTAAGAAAATGAGCAAAAGTTGTCATACTAATACACATTTTAAACTTTTTACTTGCTGGCAGACAAATGTATCTTTTTTTTCACTTTAATTTTGAAATGTCTTTCTAGCACAGTAGTGAGCTGTGAAAGACAAAAGTGTTATAAATTAGTAAAAACACAGAAATGAAAATTTACAGTGAGGTTTCAGCAAACAAGGTTTTATTCTCTATACAAATGGCTCAATGTGTAAATTAATATGTTAACTCTTTCAACCAGGGCTCAGTCCCTGGGACCGATCTCGTAACTATTTTGTGCTTGTTATAGTTTTCATGCTATACTTTTAAATTAGTAAGCGAATGTTAATGAACTTTGGCAGTTTATCACTAAACATTACAATACTTTCATATGCCATATAGCTAATTTTTTTATTAAGTTTTAAGGTTTGTAAAGCAGTTTTTCTCTCCTGCCTTTTTTTTTTTGCATCTTGCCCATCTATCATGCAAAGCAATTTTCATCTTAAGATTAAAAATACTTCTATGCATCAGAAAATTTTGAAATTTCATGTACAAAATCTTTATAATGTCTGGATAGTTATCAAACATTTCTTAAGAAAAAAACTTTGTATTTTATCTGTTATTTTCAGTAATTAATCTCTGTACGGGTTCAGTAAATTTGACTGATCTCGCAACCACCATAAAAAATTAGGAAATAAACATAAATTATGCAACTTTCATTCTAGAATGAACACAAATTATAACACAAAAACATAAATGTTTAGACAAAATAGCTTAAATCTTATAACATTATACATTTATATATATTTATTATTTATATTATACTGACCTTTCACCCATGCCTGGCTAACAATACAGAAGTTACAACGACGTGGCTCACGTGCACTCATGTTACTGTATCAAATAACATAAAGGTGACCTTTGGTCTGTGCTAAGTAACTTGTCTTGGCTATGTTGTAGTCGACTAGTATTTTGTAAAATACAGTCACAGCAATAATCTATATACATATGTTCTTAAAGTTATTTTTCATAAAACATAAAACAGTAAATAAATAAGTAAAGCAAACAATTATCTTTTCTAGTTATGACCTTTGTACTCAGTTGCTGCCTGACATAGGCTGCTAAGCCTTTAAAAATTTTGTACATGGAGGACATGAAACAAAATATTTTTTTTTAGGTTTTGTATATACTTTTGAATAACTAAAAAATCATAAATTACTACATCAATATCATAAAATTCTACTATAATTTATCAAACGTAGTAACTAAGTTGTATTTGGGTCTAAAAAAATATGAAATTTCGGGCACAGTAAAGACACTCCCTACCTCTTTAAATTTTGGTTCAAAAGAAAGAAATGGTGCCAAGCCTGTTAAAATGGCTGAGAAAGCCACTAGGGGGGAGATTCTGAGCTTTTGATTGGTTATTCCT